GATCTTTGTTTGGGGAGAAACAAATTTGTGGAAGGACATACTTGGAAAGTTGTTTCATGCGGGACCGAGGATTCTTTTGGGAAAAGTTTGTTTGTTTTCACTCAATTAAAAGTGGTGGTTTTGCAAAAGTATACCAAACTACATGTTCAAGTTATTGTGGTAAAAAACTGTGCGCCAAATGTTTCCATCTTTCTGTATAATAAAGCTGACTTGAAGGTAGAAAATGGATTGGAAGTCAATTTTGGTAGTTGGTGGTGTTAAATGTAGGCAAGATAAAAAAATATTATGCAATGTTTTTATGAATTTTTTTTTTATCTTTTCGATTAGTGTGTGATATTTTATTATGTGTATAATTTAAATGTGAAAAAAATGTTCATAAATTTTTTAAATTTCAATTATGATATCTTACATTACCCTTAAAAAAAAATATAAGAACATGCAATGAATGGAACTTGAATAAGTGCCAAAGAAGAGAGGATCAATAGTATCTTAATGTAATTTGTTTGTTTTTCTTTTAGCACCTTAATGGGAAATCTTATGGTGTTGCATCTTTAGGGGTGTATATGATATGCACTCTTATTATAAAATATATAATTTTAGTTATAGAATTTCGAAACATCAATCATAAATTGATGTTTCAAAATTTTTGATTAATATTGGTTAAAAGTTTATGGTTAGTTTATGACATTTTTGTTACGCCAATGTGTGTGAGATTACGTATTTGTATTGATTTTATGAAATTTTTGTAAGTAAAATTATACCACTTTTTTGATAGCATTTCCCTACTTTAGAAGATATTTTTTGGTCTTCATACTATTCATCAATGATTAGTCACCATCTAATTGATGTACATGTATCTTCCCAAACGAGATTGTTTGGAATTTCAACAATATAGCCAAAAATTCACTATAAGTTATCACATCACTTCCTCTATTTTTCTACATATTTTATCCTAAAAATCAAAAAATTAACTAATACTTCCCAAATACCATCTGAAAGATAACCAAAATCATAAAAAATTGTTCCCAAATAAATGCTAACACCATTATTCTCAAAACAAAAGCTAAAACCAAGGCTCATCATGCTAATAACTGAAACTAAGTTTCGCCGAATATCCGGAGCATAAAGAACATCATGAAGATACAAGGTGCGCCCTCGTCGCATTTCCAGCTTGTATGTGCCAATGCCAAGCACCTCCACACTGAACTCGTTTCTTATGTAAACTTTTCTACTCCCAGCAGTTACTTGGCGATACTAAACGAACCCTACTTTGTCCCTCATGATGTGGTCTGTTGCTTCGGAGTCTACAACCCAAAAATGAGGAGAATGAGCAATTAATGCTTGACTAGACACAAAGCATTGAATGCGAGAAATTAAGTAAGGGAGTACCTTCTTCTGCTCAGGGCAATCCCGAGCGAAGTGTCCTTCTTTGTTACAGTTAAAGCATGTCAATTTAGCCTTTGCCTTCTTACCACCTCTCTTGCCCTTACGCTTGAAATTTCTAGCGCCATTGGGCTTAAGCGCAGCCGCTGCTTGCTTCTTAGGGGCACCTTTTGCTTTTCCACGTTTGAACTGAGAAGTCCTACGTGAGCTTGACTCAACCACCATAGCAGAACCATCAGACTTAGCCGCCTCAAGGTGCTCAGCCTCTAGCTCCAAATGACGCGATATGTTTTCGAATGTTTTCACACTCTCATTATGCATCATGTTCTACTTCATCTGCTCCCAAGAATTTGGCAGAGAGCGAATCACAGCTTGTACTTCCTGCTCTTGAGTCAAATTGTGCCCAGCAGTGGCAAGCTCACGTATCATGGCTGACATGACCCTCAAATGCTGCTTCATCGAGTGATACACCCTTTTCTGATATGAGTCAAACTTCATAGTCAACCCACGTAGTTTTGCCAAAGAGGTAATACCAAACTTTTGCTTGAGAGCTTCCCACATCTCAAATGCAGTCGAGCAATGCTCAAACTCACTAATCAAGTCGTTGTGCATGCTGCTCAACATAGTAAAGCACGCACATTGATCTTTGTTATGTCAAGTCCGAAAGGCTTCAAGATCACGACGATGTTGAGCTGTATTGCCTTGCTCTGGCTTAACCATCACTTGTTCAAGTGTGGTCAACATTTCTTGCTCATTGAGGAGGTATTGGATCTTACGGAGCCATATATCATAATTGTCGCCATCCAATTTTTCTCCCTTAGTTAAGTCTGCCACCACTGTCTTAGCAGCCATTTCTACATACAGAGTAAACAAATGCGCAGGGGATATTAATGATAGCAACACAAAAAATTATTTTGCAGCAAAAGAATCTAAATTAAATAATGATAATTTTACACATGTCTCAAGATTGAAAATTTGCTATGCTCGTAATCATCTCTTGTGCCTCTAGTGATAATTATCAAAATTTAATTTTATTTCATGCGCAAAAACAATCAATATCCCACTACTTATGGCATATACAAAGCATGATAAATTCCATACAACTGCATCTTAATGTAAATTTACAAACAACTCATGCTATATTCATTTAATAATGGAATTCAAATAAATAAATAAATAACTAATCCCGCTTGTTTAATTGCAACATATTATAAACCCTAAAAAAATATGCTGTATACAATATTTGGATTATGCCACAATAAAAAGTACATCATTCTGAAATTTTTTGGAATATTTTTGAAATTTTTTGGAATTTTAAATAACTAATAAACACACATAAAATTAGAAATAAAAAATTCAGAAACTAAAAAACTGAAACAATAATACCAGTAAATAGTAAAACTTTTCAGAAGTCTACAATAAAAATTTCAACCCCAGAAAATTATTTATGCAATACCTCTGGAAGCACGTGATTTACCCACGAGATCCTTCAATTCAGACTCTGTTTATAAGGTATGACCATAATTTTTTATTCCGCTACGTTATACTTTGTTTACAAATGGTATCAGAGCCGACTCTCCAGGGTACCAATTAAAAACAAAACAAACAGCGCCTAATACATCAGTAGCCAAGCTAGCCGAGCCGGCGGAGGAAAACGGCGCGACTCAGAGCGTGGCTCAGTCCGCGGCTCGGTGCGCGGCTCAACCCGCGGCTCAGAGCACGGCGCGCGTGCGTGGCGTGGAGGGCGCGCGCGTGGACAGCGCCGCTAACGCGTGCGTGAGGGCGCGTGCAGGCGCGTCGGCAGGGCAGCTGGCGCGTGGGAGCGCGTGGGAGCGGCTCACGGTGTCAGGTGGCGCGTGCAGACCACGCGCTGCCTTCCAGGGTGTTTTCTGGTCCGATTTTTGTACTGCCAAACTCCGCCTTTCAAAATAAAACTATTTATGGTATTAAAAAAGACATTAATGAACATAAAAAATAGGTATTTATGCTCTTAATCTAATGAAAGTAGACATTTTCCTCCTTTATAAACATTCATGTATATAATGTATACATATACATATAAAAATATACACATGATTAAAGAAAACACGAAAATACCGATTCATGCTCTGATACCAATGTAAAAACAAAGTATAACGCAGCGGATGAAAAATTATGGTCATACCTTTTCAACAGAGTTTGAATTGAAGGATCTCGTGGGTAAATCATGTGCTTCCTGAATCTCGTCAATCAACCCAGCAATGAAGTGATATTACAATAGTGAATATCACCCACACAAATCACAGTGCAAATGGCTTTGATCGTTGTTTTTGGGAGAGAGCCAGTATATGGGAAAAAAACTCAAACATACGTTGTTTTTCTCTTAATCTCCCATATCCTATATATCAGATATATAATATGTTTATCTCATTTATCCATATCAGTTATATGAGATAATATAAGATATCTATATCATCTATTCATATCAATTGATATGATATATATATATATATCCTGAGTGGTTATCCAAATAGGTTTGAATTTGAATTCAAAACCCATTTGGATAAGGTTCAAAAGATTCAAAGGGTTATGCCACATGGGTGCCCATTTCTAAGAGAAATTATAACAAGTGTGTTACGTACAGGTTCTAAACATACTTTATTTTTTCTCTTTTCATGCTGCAATTATATTAGTACCTATTACGTCCCACAAAACATTCTATTCAATTTATAGACTTCGCTCAGTATTAATTTATCTCTATTCACCCTTAGGAGCCCGAGACCAGAATAATAATTATATCCTGTGTAAAATCTATCATATCTTCACTCATCTCCAACCTTCTACAGAACAAGGATCTGATATGAAATCTATATTGGTATCACAATCAATAGTGCATTGAGCCATTAAATATTAAAGGCAAAAGTACTGTATAGTAAATGTTAAACAAATAGAGCTCAAAAAACAAACAAACAAACAAAAAATAAATTTTTTGAAAAGAGTTGTAAACAAGGTAATATTGCTTTACCGGTTCTTCTAAGCCCAATTTTCTCACTCGATTTGATCTATAATTTCCACTTCCACAACTCCATCGTACCGGTTTTTCTACATACTCAAAGCCTAATTTCAAGCTAGAATTATCAGAGCCGCCATTACAGTATCTTGAGTACGACAATAGTATCTATACCAGATCCCAACAAATTAAGCTGAAATTTTAACAACTAAACACAAAAATTCGAAGTTTCGATTTCAGCAAACAAACCACAAACAAGTGCAAAGAGCAAGAGACATTTCAAGGACGCAAAAACAATCGATTTCAAGCGAGTAAAGCTGTGAAGTGAAGAACAGAACTAACCTTTTCTTGCTGGAGACTGTTTGTCGGAATTAAGCTGTGAAGTTAAAGCTGCTAGAATACCATACTGGAATTGGAGTTGGAAAGTAATTTCACAGCTCAATAGAAGTTAACAACTATGATAAAACCATAAATGTAATTTCATACTCATCGTAAAACTCAATTAACTTATTGTAAAACTCTTCAAAACTATATTTTGAAAACACTATTTCATACTTGAAGTTGTGTTGTCAAAATACGGTTTTCTAATTTCCTTAACTTATTTTTCTTTTTTATGTTATTTATGTTTTTATTCTGAGGTTGGTTTCATAGCAAATATCTCTTTCTTTGACTCATCAAAACAATTATCTGCTAACCACTGAAGGACAGGTTTTCCTTCCTTGTACTTTTGGCTCTTTTCATGGGCAGTCTCCTGAAAATAAAAACGAAAAGTAATTAAACACCATAGTCAAGTCAACTAAACATGTGCAAACCATAATCTTAAGAACTCTGCCTCATGCTCTTACGTATTTCCATCCCAAAATTGATCCACACCCAACGCAGAAAATGTCAGCAACAGTGTGCAATCTGGTCATCAAAATTCTTTCTTCTCCCTCTCCAACTGTGACATTCACTCTGTCAGATATAAAGAAGCAAGACAAAACATAAGAACAATGAAATGTCAATGTACAGCATCGACAACTTAAAATGCTACAAAGAGCATATAATTTAGCATGCCAATCCATTGCATCCTCAATTCTCCAATTCCCAGTTTTGTTTGCTGAATTCTGATAATCTCACAGTTCCAGAATCATATTTTTTCTCACATTTGAACATGAAAGAAGTGAAGAATAAGATTGAGAAACTAATGCTTTAAGACAATCAAATACTTATCTTCGATTGGAAGTGTAGACTCATTCACATTCTTTGTATGAGTGTTTTGGAGATGCAAGATTAAGCATTAAAAACCTAAGGAAGATCAAATTATATTACAAAATTATCTATTAATTTGGGAGGCAACAAGAGAATCACATCAATTTTATTATTTTAGACAGCCCTAATACAAACGAGCACAGGTAATAACATGAAATAATGAGGCAAAACAAAAACTGATAGCATGTAAATTATTTGTAAAGTTGAGTGACTTACAGTGACTCTTGCACGAACCACAAATTTGTGTGGAACATTATTCACACCAAGTGAGATTTGAAATTTTTTAATGCTATACATCAAAGTCTTAATGAACGAATTAAATAAGCCAAGAGAAAGAATGCATGTGGCAGTTGTAGAGAAAAACTACCTTTTCATCACCCCTACAGATAAAGTACTGATACATTACAACTACTTAAATAAAAAGAGTCAAAAGGCAAGTAATAACATGCTTTCTTGCATAAAGCTCACACAAGCTTTTGATAACCAGCACAATAAAATTAGATCTCAGATGGTTATAAACAAAAATTCAATCTAACCTCGGATAGTAATCTGCTGCCAATTTTTCCAATTTTGGTTTTAAATATACACATTTCTTGCACCAGCTTGCCATCCTACAAATCCAAGTAAATTCACATGACAACCCAACTCAATTCAATATAAGAGGAATCATAATCCTACGAATAAAAAGCAAGGGAAAAAATTCCACAAAAAAATAAATAGTAAAGAAACAAAACAAAAACTGAAAAGAACTGTCATCACATCATAGCATGACCTTTCCACCAACAATCAATGGAACTTTTGTCTCAAAAGTTTTTACTGACCATACTAGTTATTCCTAGTTGACAATCAATAGAACTTTTGTCTCGTGGCATAACCTATCAACCCTAATTGTTATTCCATTAAATGTTCATATTTTATCTTTAAACCAGTAAAAGAGAAATCCATAGCAAAAAAAAAAAAAAAAAAAGAAAGAAAGAAAAAAAGAAAAAACAGAAGTGGCAGCATGTCGGGATTCTATTGATATCTCATCAAATTAAGAGGCGGTACATATGACCATAACATGATACCCAACCTTAAGTACTCAGTAATTGTAATAACATGATACCTGTTATTCCTAAACACCGACACCACTCCCGGCATCTCTGTTTCCATTTTTTCAATACAAAAACAATTTGAGAGTCATGGATATGAATTAATCAAATGATGAGAAATTGTTATAGTACTAGTTTCATTAATATGTACCGGCTAGTTGGGAAGCTTGGTCCTCTGTCATCTTGGCTGCAAAGCCTCTGAAACCATGTCTGTAGCTGTATATATGAGATGCTCTGGCTTGTTCAACACTGTACCACAACATAGTCATCAATAGAACACAATGCGATCAATACAACCAATATTACCCACCAACACCAATTTGTATTTCAACCTTGAAAATTACTAGAATTTGATGTGGATCAGATAAGGACATATTAAAGTTGGGGTAAGAGTATATCAGCCAATACTGTTCGATATCATCTTATAAATAAATCTAGCATTCAACAAAACCATTTGAAGATAAAGAAGAAGAATGCAAGAGCAACAAAATTTGAGTGTGAAAACATTGATTTACAATTCAAGAAGAGAAGAAAAGAGCACTGGGCTGACCTTCCTTTATGAATAGCAGCAAGCATTTGGTGGTTCTGCAACAAAATTTCATCTGGGTCATGACCATCTATAGACTACATACACCTGCATATAATTTTAAAGAGATAAGGGAAAGAACTTCAAATTTTCATCAGACTATACACCAAGCTCATGAAACATCACAACACAGCCCAATTACACACCTTAGAAGAAAAACAGAAGCCAACTTCAGCAAGAAAAAGGCAAAGAAATAGATTAACAATACGACTACTATTAGTAGTAGTAACAGTATTTCTTGATGAAACCATTTCCAAGTCTCAATCTGGTTTCCATAAATTTTTTTAGAAGAAAATTTGTCTATCACTACAACTAGATTTTTTTTTTAATAAAAAAAACTCCTTTAAAACACTGATTGTAAACCCAAACACAAGTCTAAAAATATAGAAAATAAATTATTATTTTTAAATATTCTAGGAATAATTACCAATAAATGTAAAAACGATGATGATCGAGGCTTCAATCAATGCATCGCCAAACCCTAATGGGAATCAGGAAGAAGAAGGAGTCATCTCTATATCCCTCTCTCTCTAAAACTCTCAACCTCATCAACTTGAAATGCAAGAAACTCACCGATTTTTTCTAGATCCATTTTCCATCAAAATAACTTTCAGGAAAGAAAACACATACGTAGCTTTCGTAACCATGGGAAACTTCTCTGTACGTTCAATTGAAACGTTGAGATCTTTCGTTATCTAACCAAACTCGACGGGAAGGAAGAGCTAGAGAGAGAGGGAGAGAGAGAGAGAGAGAGAGAGAGAGAGAGAGAGAATACGAAACTGAGAGAGAGACAGTGGTGCTCACCTTAGTGGACGATGGTGCTCGCTCCCCTTGCCAGTGCAGATGGTGGAGGCGATGGAGTTTCGAAATCTCGAAATCGCCAATCGCTCTAAGATTGGATCTGAGATGAATCACCAATCGCTCTGAGATTGGATCTGAGATAAATCACTGATCGCTCTGAGATTGTATCAAACGGGGCTGAAGAAGGTTGATTCGATCGGTTAAGAGAAATTAGGGCTTAGAGAGGGTTGAGAGAGAGAGAGAGAAAGAGAGCGACACCCAAGGAGTGAGTGAGAGAGTAAGGGAATGTTTTGGGTCCTCAGGCTCAAAATAAGGCATTTGAAGAGAGAGAGAGAGAGCGCGTGGGAGAGTTAAGACATTTAAAGGCGTTTTTAAACGCCTTCTTCTATCAAAATGGTACCATTTTATTTTTTAAAAATTGTGACGTTTATCAAACGTCGTTAAATATTAAAAAAGACAGCATTTAAAAAACGCCATTAAATCTCACTTTTCTTGTAGTGTACCATGTTCAAGTTGTGGAATGACAAACTGTGGCCGCCAATTTTTCCATCATTCTGTATATAAAGCATGACTTGAAGGTAAAAGTTACCAAAAAAGAGATGGTCTTGAAGTTAATTTTAGTGGTAATTGGATGCAATGAATGAATGATTCCTTGAAATTAAATTAAAACCATACAATGTTTCTATTGTACTTCGAGAAAATTGCTCCTTTCTAATATCAATTGAAAATTTGATTTGTTGATAAAATTTTTCTTTGGCATTGTTTGGTTGATTAATTTAATTATACAATATAAATCGCAAACATGAAAAAGTAATCAATTACAAACAAAAAGGCCTGAGATCTTTTAATGTAAAAAAATCCAACTGGAAAAAATTTGTGGGATTTGGTCCAGTCAATCAATCCACTATAAACAACAAAATATACAATTTGTTACTTAAAAACCAACTTACTTATGAATCTACCATGAACTAAAAACAATACATCAAACTAACTTCGGAATCCATCAAAGTATTTACCAAAATAAGAACGATGATGTAGAAAACTTGGAGATTGAATGATCTTCGACAAAATATATTATAAAATATTCCAATCATGCATTGGTACACCCTCTAGGGCCCTCTTTATGGTTGAGGTATCCCAAGATGACTTAAATACTTTTTTGAGGCTTATCCATGTGATACACAGACTTAAATAAATCAAAACTGGCACCTCACGCTCGAGCCTACAAAATATTGCTCGAGCATATTTCAAACGAGCATTCTGGTCCTACCTTGCTCAAGCCAGCTTTGACCTCGCTTGAGCACACTACTTTCAAAAATTCTAAATTTGTTCACGGCTATACTAAAAGCTTGTATTTTGATACTTCGTGAATTTGTACTCAACATCATATTTGGATGGTTTTCACTCCAAGATGATTCCAAATCAAATTCAAATTCCTATCATGATTCAATTTGGATTTCTAAAAACAATTAGAACTCAAATAGGTTTTGTTTAAGGAATTGAAAAATCTAACTAGAACATGATTCTAGTAACTATAGGCATTTTTTTTTGGTGGAGCGGTGAGCCTCTAAAAAGCTCAACCACATTAAGATAGTTAATAGTTTTGAATATGAAATGGAAGAACTATACAAATTATACAAATCAAAGAGAAAGAAACTAATTACAAACACACAAAACCAAGATTTAACCAAGACACCAAAAAACAAGTCTCATAAGAGAGACTCAACCACATTAAGATAGTTAATAGTTTTGAATATGAAATGGAAGAACTATACAAATTATACAAATCAAAGAGAAAGAAACTAATCACAAGCACACAAAACTAAGATTTAACCAAGACAGCAAAAAACAAGTCTCATAAGAGAGACACTAAGACACTAAGATTTAGCTAGTTGTGATGCTCTTGCACTCCCATTTTCTTTATTGGTATAATTTGTTTTGTACCTTGTACTTGATTCTTACATCAACAAAGTCTCTTTTTTGCTGATCAAAAAAAAAAAAAGAAGAGAGAGAGACACTAAGACGAGATAAAATCTCACAAAACAAGACTTCAAAGAAGCCACCAAAGATGCCGAAACTCCACCAAGATCTACGGTAGTCCGCTAAGCAAATATTCACGAACAAGATTTATTCCAAATTGATGAACAAGAATCTTCCAAGAACAAGATCTAACAAAGAGGACCATCAAGTGCCAAAGGCCACATTGAGATCTACTGGGGAACACCTAATGATTGAAGTCTAAAAAAATCTCATAGAGATCTACTGGGGAACTGGAAAATTTAATAAATGAGTGAAAGTCTCTTCATCTTCATATCAAAAAGCCCTTTCTAAAGCTAATCCAGATCAAAATTAATTTTTTTTTTAGGGCATTTAGGCTAGAAGTCCATTTCTGAAACTTTTGAGCCAATAGACCCAGCTTAAATCTTTTTGGGCCAAGAGGACGTTATTTTTTCAAAAGGATACTTATTTGTTCAAAGTTTACCTATATATCTATCTATTCAAATGCCATATTATTTCTACATGTGTCACCTATCTATGTAACTGTTTATTCAAATATTATCTATACACGTGTCATCTATCTATTCAAATGTTTCACTATCTTTACACATGTCACCTATATATTCATTTATTTGTTCAATATTACTTATTTGTTCACCTTATTATACCACCAACTGTCGGTGCTAGCCGCCGATAATTTTTTTGGCTCAAGACTATTTATCTTTTCAATATTTGTTGAAGAATTCAAAGATCAGATGGCCCATTATGTCAAAGAAGAAGGTGAGGATTAATGCTCCACACTGATGAAGGCACTCATGGAAATTGAAGATGTTGATGTGTTGATGTTGTTGTTATCTGGTTACTATTGAAGTAATGATGTGCAGTTGATTAAGGATATAAGAGTTGTTTTGTTGTTTGATATCTATTTTTACCTCTATTTTCTCCCTTTTCTTTTTGCTCCCTCACCAACTTGTCGAAGTTATGTTAACAAATGATTGGGCTTGTTTGTCGGTATCAACTTAGTTGAGGTTGATTAACTTTTGCTATGATGCTTTTGCACCTCGCCTCTCTTTATTGTTGTTTTTATCATTGTTCTCTATGTAGTGTAATATTTTCATCAGTAAATATTCTGTTTGGTGATCCAAAAAAAAGAAAAAAAAAAGAAAACTCTTATACAATAGATATGTTTAATACCAAAGGAAATATGTTCAAATACATATACGTCAAAATTTTGATTGACTTACCTAAAAGTAAACATAAACTAAGTAGCTAGTTTTTCCATTGTTTTGTGTTAGATTAACCATGAGCTATCAAGTTTTGTACAATGAAATAGTTTGGAAATATTAATACAATTGTATGCCTGCTATTTGGAAATGTAAACATTGTTGACCATTGCATATCCTTTTAATTACTTAAACAATTTCCAAAATGAATGAAGTATTAAGATTTCAAAGTTAGTATAGAAGTTTCCCAAGTCAATAGGCTAAGATTTCTTAAACTACGTTGACATGGATAACGTTAATTTAGCAAGAGTGTGTTCAATTAATTTTACGCCCACCAAGTAAATAACAAAGACTTGCATGAGCATAGGCCATATTTGATCAACAAAAAACAAACAACAAACTAATGAGTTTTTCATGATTTTGCGTAATTATTTCTTGCCAGATAATAAAGTTTTGAAAATTATTATTGCAAAATCAATTAATGGTGAAAAAAAATTTAGACTAATTTGAATTCAACCTTAGGCTTTATAGTTGATTATCAATCAAGTCCGCCAAAAAAACAATCAAATAAATAAAAATTAATACTAGGTTTCATGAAATAAATATTATGAAAAATTTTCATCATTTGATTAGTGTGTGGTGTTTTATTGTGTGTGTAATCTAAAGGTGAAATTTTTTCATAATATTTCTTTCATGATACCTGGTATTATTTATTATTAAATATATATATATATATATATATAAAATAAATAAAAAAATCATGCAAAAGAAAACCACGTGGTTAGTAATCTCTCAACATACTTCTCAAGTTGCTCAAATAAACCGACAAGGAGAAGAAAAAAAAAAAAAAGAAGAAAAAAGAAGAAAGAATCTACGTTTACTAATGGTAATAGGAGAGATAAGAATACTTTAATTATAATAGTAGACGAGTTTTACATATTGAATAGTTCAAATATTAATGCGGCTTCCAAGATAGGTCTATAGAGACCTAACAACACTCTCCAATTTAGAAAGTCAATTGGAGAGA